TCTCCCTCGAACGATAGTCACTCACCCCAAAAACGACAGTAGCTGCCACATCGACAGTTCGACTGTCGATGTCCAACACTGTCCACCCACAGCATGGTGGGTGCGTGCAGGGTGACTTGCACCTGTGTTTGTTTATAGTGCTAGTAAACTTGCACAACACTTACTGCACTCTCTTCCCTCATCCACCCGAGCCCTTTGTCATGGCAGAGTCCAGGAGATCTGAGGCGGATTCGGGCGCAGGTGGCTGGCGGGGCGTGAGTTGGCGCCCACACGTTCAGTCACACCCCAATGTGTGGCATTTGTTATAGAGGTGCATGCTAAATTACGGCTGCCGTGCCCCTGCGTTTGTACAGTCCATCTACCGCGTGGCCCGTTGTGGGGTTGAACTTGAAGGCGAGAAACTGGCATAAAGTACATGCATTCGCGTACGTCTTATTGACAGTTAATGTTCTTCCCCTGAGAAGTTTTGCACCGGTAGGGTGGCGTCAGATGGACAACACTTGGGCGCTCACTCAAATGTGCATCAGACGCGCCGTATTCTGTCAAGTCGGACGTATCTTACACAGGCGCCGCCATTCTGGGGCATGTGCCACACCTATCAAGTCGCATCGGTATGATGACATCCAGCAATTGCGACAAATCGTCGTGTGAGAAACTCCCTTGCATGAGCTTCCCTGAGGTTGCTGATAGAAGCGAACAGGCGAGTCCCAGGTAGCAGTTCAGAAGATGAAGATGCGATCACAGTGATCGCATCTTCATCTTCTTCCCTGAGGTCCCCGCAATCATCCTAAATCCTTCTTTTCCGCCCAGCAATAAGTCACCGGAAAAGTCGGGTAATCAGACAGAATGCGAAATTTTTTACAACAACTACAGTAGATGTGCTATCTCATGAAACGTTGACCGAAATTCTGAAATGCGTTTTCATTTCGAAAATTTTACTTGGGGAATGTTGTAATATTGATTTTCCTGTGGAATAATACCAAGACATCCCAGTCGGGACGCTGGCTCTCAGGCAAGTCCCGTGAAAATGACTGCTTTAGTGGCATGAATTTTTCTCATTGATTTTCGTTGCCCCTATAAATTCAAATGTATTTCATACAAAACGTGCACGAAAATATTCTTTATTTATCTGTCAGCAAATAGCGGCTTCAAATTTATTACTTGAAGAAAGGGTATCTTTCGGTTTTAAAAAGTTTCTAATTATGGGATTTTTTAAGACTGAAATGTCCAGTCGTACGGCGTCGCACTAGAACACTTAATACTGCGGTTTATAAAGTGGAAACGTGATCAAAATCCATTACAAAATTTTACTGACCCTATATGTCCTCTTCATAACGGCATGCAGAAATGTGTGATTTTGCTTGCACGTAAAGTATACAGCTTGTAGTTCAGCAACCCTGAATTCAATTGTAATGGCAGGTCGAGTTTAGATGTATTTGGGAATCGCTCAAGTTTTTAAAACCGACAGATACCCTCTCTTCAAGTATGAAATTCGAAGAACACGCACTTTGCTACCAAATGAGCAAACAAAAGAATATTTCGGGCATGTCGTATATAAATTATATTATGACAGATGCGCGCTCACCGATCAGGTTACAGAACATGCTCGTTCTCAAGTGATCCACACTTGGGGTTGGGTATGACTGGCTGATGGCGGCTAATAAGCCAGAAATGGTCATTCCGGTCTCCCTTGTCTTTGTCGGCTCCATCTCATAAATTATATTTGAATTTTTAGGGGCATCAAAAATCAAAGGTAAAGATGCTACCCACATAGTCGCTTTTTGCGGAATATAGTTTATGTAAGTGGTCGATAAGAGGCTCATTCGAAAGCGGGCATCCCGAAGTAACAGGGATATTTAAGCATGATGTGACATGATGATCAATATTATAACCACACTAAGGTAATCTTTTGTAATTGAAAATATATTTCATAATTTCGGTTGACATTTCATGACAAAACATATTTACTGCAAGTCGATCTAGAACGGTACCGGGATCATGGGCTGCATTCACATAAAACAGTTTATCAGAACGACTTACAATTACATTTACATAGTATTTTGTAAAATTTAAGTTTGCTTGTCTGGAAAAAGGACGAAACCTTTAATAGGGGCTTGTTGATGGAAGTCTGTCCTGTAACCCACTTGCTACAGCTGTTTTGGTTTAACCAACTTACCTTGACTGATAAAGTCATCATCCCACCCCGTCTTCTTCCACCCGGCTTCGTGCTTCAGATCGATTTCAACAAAACACCCCTTCAACATTAAAACGTATCCTCTAGTTGCTTCCATGGCAGCCCTTTGGCATGCAAATTTCTCATGCCTTCTAGCTTGTGCCTAGCGCTCACCAGTGCCTTTGACGACAAAAACCCGCAGACTTTAGATTCATTATACCCCAAGCGCTCTCGGGTTTTCGAAGAACATCGCGGGTCTCGCCTGGCATCGATTATCCTGCAGAAGTTATTCTGCTAAATCAAATTCGAGTTTTCATCCGTCCTGTACGTAATGTTGGCCTTTCTGACTACATAATGTAGTATTTTTGACAAATGAGTGGAACAAGCGTTCCCAGCATGCAGAGATCGTGTACATTTGCCGTATCATGCACCGAAATAAGGATCACGTCCCCCCAGGTGACACTAACTTAGCTTCTGTACGTCACTTCACGTCACAATGACGTCGCACTTTTGGTACGGTGGAATTTTTTTCCATCCGTTTATTGACCACATCACTCATTCCTTCAGTCCTCTATGTCTTGCGCTCTGCTTGTCGCCTGATACCCACGCCATATGCGAAGCCGTGAGGGGTTTTTCAGAAAAAAAACCGGTTGAAACAGACTGCTTAGCCGAAAATTTTTATGGAGACACACCTACGGCCTTTATTTTAGCAAAACGTTATTGCAATAGGTGAGCTAACTCATAAAATGTCAACCGAAGTTCCGAAATGCTTTTCCGTTTCGCAAAGATTACTTAAGCAGCGTCGTAAAAGTAATCATCCTGCAGTATACTTCTATAATAATTAAGTTGCCGGCTTTCTAACGAACTTCTTCCCGGCTGCATGCAATATCCACACTATAAAAAATGACTATTTAAGTAACATGAATTTTCTCATTGCTTTTCGATGCCATTAAGAATTCAATTATATTTCATGGAAAACATGCATAAAGATATTCATTCTTCTGCGTATGCGGTAGAAAATTACGTCCTCCAATTTTGCACTCGAAGGAAGGGTATAAAGGTTGTTAATTGTGAGATTTTTTAATACCGTGAAGTGGCCGTTCATAAAACGTCATGTCTCTGCATTTAGCAGTGTGGTTTGTAAAGTTAACAATATGGTTCGAATCCACTGCTAAATTTTATGGAACCCCTTTTGGTTTCCTCTTAATACTGTAGAGAAATTATGATTTTCCGCACGCGGTGAAATATACGGCATGTAGTTTACAAACCCGGAATCCAAGTGTAACGGCAGGTCGGGTTCAAAATTATTGGGAAATTGAAAAGTCTTTCAAAACCGAATCGTACCCTTCGTTCGAGTATAAAATTAAAAGACGTAATTTTCCACCAAAGGAATGAAAGATGAATATTTTTATGCATGTTTTCCATAAAATATAACTGAATTTTTAAGGGCATCGATAATCAGTGAGAAAATGCATGCTACTTAAGTAGTCATTTCTACAGAGTACGACTTTGCATTCAGCGGAAAGAAGTGCGCTCGAAAGCCGGCATCCTGAGGTAACTGAATTATTATAGAATTATGCCGCAGGATGATTAGTTTTACAACCCTACTTACTTAATCCTTACGAAACGAAAACTCATTTCGGAATTTTGGTTGGCATTTCATGAGTTAGCCCACCTACTGTATGTCATGCGCAGCTGTCGCAACAGCTCTGGCCGCACGCGGATTTGCCACAGCCCGACAACGGCATTTCTTGAAGTCTTTGGCTTAGACCAGTGGACACCATTCTAGGGAGAGGGGGTGCGGAATTGCAGTTGACATTTCATGAGTTAATTACGTTAGTATGCAAGTATGTAGGTATTGAAAGCGCACTTCGGTAAACGGCAGTTCAGTAAATTTTCTATCGGAACGGGCCCGGCATACTCTTGTTGACAGCCAGCCTTGCAACTGGAAGTTGGATTCTGGCCCGGAAACGAAACCAGTTGCTTAGTGCTCAATGAAGGCAAGTTTTTTACCATCCATGTTTCCTCGCATCTCGTGAATTTGAAATTTTTGATCATCTGGCGCTCAACGAATGCCACCTATTTCATTGTGTCCTTTTGTTGTAGTCTGCTTTCTGTCTAACACGCCCTGAACTGCTTGTCGCACTTAAATTGTCTCCTCTTTTTGTGCGAGCCACGATCAACCATGATTTTATGGAATGTATTCCCCCCCCTAAATTCCTCTTCAGGCCGCAATAGCCGCAGGCCTTCGTGGAGATCCCGCAGTTACTATGGCGCATATCTGGGACGCACGCGACCGGCTGCTCATGGGCCCCGCCAAACGTAGGCCTCTGGACGAGGAGGGCAACAAGGTTTCCGCCTTTCACGAAGCAGGCCATGTCCTGGTGGCGTTTTACACCCCTGAGAGCACTCCTATCCACAAGGTAGTTTCACCTCCCCACATTCCTTTTTGCTTTGTTGATTCCTTTGCCGTCATATATTCACACCAGTTTTGGCGTCATTCTGCACCCGAGACCGTCTGGTAATGACGCAGGCTGCGTGACTAAACCCCTTGTGCCAGTTTTATTCTTCGGACGAGGTGGTTTCTGTCTGGAGGGCAGTTCTAGCAGTTTTTAGGAAGTGCCCGCGCTTTTTACTTGACCAACTTCCCCTCCATTTGGCTGTATCATGCGTTTTTTTTTATCTGCACGCCCCTCAACAATGTGTATTTATAACGGCCAGAGCCAGCGGCATCCTTTAACCAGAACCAACCGAAAATTCGATAGAGTGGCAGACGTTTCCAGCCCCTGCAAGCTGAAAAGGTGTATCGCCACCTTGCACTTACCTATTCGTCTGTTATCATGCTCGTAGACATTTGTAACGCCTGAAAGGACATTAACCCATCTGCCTCGGGCACCTACGCCGCACCTAGGAGTCATGTGATCACGGCTCCCGAACGCCAGAACTTGAGCACATTCAGCCCTGTGAATAGCCAATCACTGGCGCCCACAAGCCCCAGTAATGCTCAATCAGCTGGCACTGGCTGCCATGATGCTTATTCACTTCAGCCCACGGTACCCTAGCGCCCGGACGTGTCAACAGCCGGCCTCTTGTCCGGAGGCTCTGACAGCCACTAGGCTTCTGTACAGAATGCAATACTCCTACTGGTGTTTCCTCCCTTCTCCTCTACAGCGGGACTGGGTCATAGTTATCGTGCCATGCTGCATACATTCTCACTGATCAGAAGAAGAAGCGATCGCTGGAACAAGGCTTTATTCGCCTGACGTTTCGGATTCTCACTTGAATCCATCATCAGAGACAGTGGCAGAAAAGGGTGACTCGTGCACAGGAAGTTGCAGTATTTATAGGATGCAGTCGCTATGCTACCGCATACCTATAGCAATTAACCGCGCTCCCCTTCATCAAGGATTGTTGCCCGCTGGTGCGCTAATTGCTTGATGGCCGGCATGCAAGTTGTTAATGGCTGAAATCTCATCACCCGTGTTGGATGCTGGCGTGATTGCACGGCCATCTGGCTCACCGGCTTGCGCGCTCCCCGAGTGGTCAATTATCTTGGCCAGCCTATGCCTCAGCACGGAATATGGAGCGGGGATGTGGTTGCACTTGTTGATAGACTGAGTTCCCCTTAACCATGACTCAAGCAACTCGTTGCCCACGCGATTGCTCCTCTAGCGAGAATTTCGGCCTCATTGAACTTGAATGTGTGGCCAGGTCTCGCCGAATGGGCCGCGACCTGAGAGTTGGCGTCATTTCTCCGTACCGCTGCCGCGTCTTCGGCAATTCGCGTTCGGAGCAGTCTTCCAGTTTCTCCGACGTAGTTGCTTTGTCCGCGACTGCACCAGATCCGGTAAACGACTCCAGATGTTTCTAGCCGTGGCAGTGGGTCTTTTGGTCTCATCACCTGGACATTCTCACTGCCGAGTTGCCACACATTCGTCCATGCTCTTGTATTGGCTAAGACAGTGGACGCTAAAATCGCCAGTCCAAATCCATGTGAGCAGAAGACGGTGGACACCAGTTATACTGTACGGAACCCCAAATTGCTGTCCAAGGCAGCAGTAGCCGTTGGCTCGTCCCCCGCCCAAGAATGCCCAAGAGTGAGCATGAATCGATAATGACGACTACCCCTGTGGACTTATCGGAGCATGCTCATGTGCCTCATGTCCAGGGGGGGGGGCGGACTGTTACACTGCATGAAGCGAGGACGGCTGTGGTTGTATGGACGCGCATGCTGCAGTTTACCGGACGGTAAGGTAAGCGTCTTTTGGGTGTGTTCGCACTGCAGGCAGATGGCGCTGTAATGACCATACGCCACAGCCCGCGGTCAGAAACGCAACTAGATGAATTGCACTAATCGAGGGCTGACGATGCACGATTTATTGGCGCCAGTGCACAGGAAGTTTGGATACGGCGCATCCGTGGTCCAGTTGGAGATTGCCTCCGGTGCAAATATGCATGTGGGAGGGTGCGTGTGTTGATGTGTTCCTGTCACCTCATGTTGGTGAACTATCACATTTTTGGTACGAAAGGCGACAGCGTATTTCCACAGAGTACACTGCGGTGCTGACTAGAGATAGAATATATTGCTGAGCCTGTAGAGCGTTAATTACCGGTATCATCGTCGTTTCGACCATAGCACGTTTTACCAATTTCTCCTTGGATTTAGATCCATGTCTCGGCCTCCACATGCATGACCGAGTCGTGCTAATGGCATGCAACTTGATTTGCGACAAAAACACTTTGACCTCCGTGAACACAAAAGAGGGAGTTGAAGGGTCGCGAAGTTCAAGCCCGTCTGCTTCCTGTTTGTTCGGATCCTATCGCGGTGTCCAAATTGTTGCGTAGCCTAAACACCGCAAAAACCAGACCTCTGCTTACCGAGTGCAGAGGTCTTCCAAGTGCCCTTATGAGACGAATAGCCGTGGAATAAAGCGCTTTTCAGTCTTTGAACTGTGATCACCGAGTTTTCACCCTTTGAATTAACTCCTGCATTTTTCTGCTCCCGACAGGTAACTATCATACCACGAGGCGATTCAGGTGGCCACACCAGTTTTCTGCAAGAAAAGGACTCTTCTTATTGGACTCGAGCCCAGCTGATTGCACAATTAGATGTGCTGATGGGTGGTCGAGTTGGCGAAGAACTAGCCTTTGGAGCGGATCATGTGACTACGGGCGCTGGTGACGACTTCAAGGTGAGAACCATTAAGAAATTGGAAGTTTATTCTACACAAACACACGATAGTTCGGCCGTTGTGATCGAGGCTGTCCACCGTGGCCTGCACAGCAGGGCGAGAGCAGGGGCGGGGACTTGCGCGTGAATAGTAGACTTGCTCAGCATCTACTTCACTCGCCCGTCCCCCACCTGGACCCGGTATTCTGACGGAGTCAATAAGTCTAGAGGCGAGGCGGGCCGCAGCTGGCTGGCACGGCGAATACCTGCACCTAGGCGTACCACTCCACACCTTCTGGTCCACAGCATACACTAACCAGGATTTTACACAAAAGTCGGATGCCAATTGGCTCCGTGCAGGCCGGCAACGAGGCCCGCTGCCACAGCCTAATTGTTGGCGTCTGCTATGGGTTGAGATTATGAAAATGGTTAGGATTATGATCAAGTTTATGGTTGGGTCCAAGGCATGGTTAGGTTAAACTGTAGGTTTGAGCTTATGGTTGCTGTCAGTTTGCCGGATAACGTCTTCCTAGTCCGAGCTACTTTATATTGCCCTTTTACATGCCACCTAAATCTCATCTTTGGAATTGCGTGTTCTGTCCAAATACCACGTTGGAGTATGGCTGAGATACCAGTTTTATCAGCACCCTCCGCAGCTTCCGTTACTTGTCGCGTCCATCTGCCCTAGTGATAAAGCGAACATCAACATCCTTCTCGCATTACGGGAGTCCCTGTACTCTATTTTCTCAGTAGACCTACATATCCAATCCTTGCCCAGTTTGGCAGTTACCGGTTGGATTTCAGTCTAACAACCACGAATGGCCTTGAGACTTGGGTCCACTGATCGCCGCGAGTTGCAATTCTAATTCTCGGTGCAAAGGTCATGACAGTTCGCCAGTTGCAAATGATGCAAAATACCACTGTCTGGAGGGGGTTGCAAGAGGCAAGGCGTGCGCGCCTCATCGGCCTCGATTAATTCTCACGTCCATTTTGCCTCAAAAGCAAGATAAGGCTGGGAGTACAGCAGATGGGTGCGAGGTCAGTGATCGATGTGGCCGAATCCACACACTTCCTGCCCCCTTCAGGCGTACAAGCGAAACCGCAGTAGAGTTAGATTTCATGTAACTGGGATAGAACATCACAGTAAGACCGCCTGTCAACCAAATTAAGTCTATAAGTTTCGATGCGAACGCGCTACCTCGGGACAAACCAGCGTTTAACACGAAACCCCTGATTGGCTCGTCATATAATAAAATGTCCTGAATAACGTGAATAGCCACCACATCCATCGAAATATCTCTTAGTGTTGTCTCGACTGTCGCGAGTTTTGAGATCAATATAGTCCTCAACGGGCTGACAGCAGGATACATACTTGGCCTCTACCGGCAGGCTGGCGTTCCTTCAATGACTCAATAATAAACATGGTGTTGACTGCTGTTCTCTTTTGTCCGGCAGAAAGCAACTGTGATGGCGGAGAGCATGGTCAGCCGTTTCGGCCTCTCACAGAAGCTGGGCCCACGTGTACTCTCCGGTTCTATGCAGGACACCCAATTGAGCCAGTCCACCAGAGACCTGATTGACAAGGAGATCACCCAACTGCTCAATGAGTCCCTTGAACGCGCCCGCGGTATACTCTCCGCCCACCGCAAAGAACACAACGCGCTGGCCGAGGCACTGCTCTACTACGAGACACTCACCAGCGAACAGGTGCGACAGATCATTGAGGGCAAATTGGTGCCCCCACCGGGTCCGCGTCCGGCTACTCCCCCTGTCTTCCCGATGGGCTCGAAGCCCGCGAACCCGCGGGAGTCGTCGCCGGTCAAACCGTCACTATCGAAGGTCGACTTGTAGGCCCGCTGTCACGGTTATTTCTCCCCCACTGCGGCTATGATGGAAGACTCGCTCCGATATTTCAATCTCTCATTTTTCTCTGCCACCCCTCCCCCAATCTTTTCAGGCACGACGAACGGAGGCTCTCAGGCTTCCCTTTTCTATTTTGGGGTCAGGAGCTACGTGGCGCGGAACATGTTCACAGTTCTGTGGACACTCTGCGTGGCATGTCTTTTGTAAAGAAATTAAACTATTCCCAGAACAGAACAACGATTCTTCGCTGGTACTTTTCTGCCTACCGAAGTCGCCCTTCATAGTCATGCCTGAGCCGAAACAATGCATACCTGTATTCGTAGTCCCCCAGTTTTCTCATGAAATAAGCAAACAACGGAGACCAGGACTGTGGCAACCAGTCTGTTGACTTTTAGCTGTCTGAAAAATTGGGAAAATAAGGCGGGAGAGATACAGCGTAATTTGCAGTTCAATGGAAGGGTATACAGCAGTGATTAGAAGCATGTTTATTGAAAAGCGCTGTTACTGGGGTTGCTTGTGCCCCCCATCAATGGCGTTAAATCGCCCTTCCGGAGAGGAAAGAAGATGAACGTCGGTATTTCATCCCTTAAATTCAGCCATAAGTGATTGCTCTGGGTGTCGAGGCACGTTGAGATTCAGGCAGACATGAGCGGCCAGCAGTGCGGCCCCGGCCGCGACCGAAGAGTTAAGCATGAAGAGCCGGAGACGGCGGATTGGCTTGCCTGCCTTCAGATCAGGCATAACCCGATCCGCAAAACCTAGAAGAAAGTGTCACATGGTCAGTTAGGATCGGTGCAGAGCGTAACCATCGTTACTGCCACAACACATGCGCGCTGGCGTACAAGACATCAAAGGTGCAAGTTTGAGTAATGGTGTTCCGCGTTCAATTTCGGAATAGGTCTTGCGCAGAGGAGTGTAGTCAAGAAAGTCAAAAAGCGAGAGTTGAACTCGCAGTTGAGAGTTATAATTGCACTTCCACCCCAAGCAGGCACACACTGCAAAGACAACTTGACGTTCGTCAGACATCCTACTGGAGTCTTCTTGCTTGTCGAATTAGTTCATGGAACGCGTAGGCAACATTGAGGGCGTGGTCTCTGTGCCTTGAAGGGACTACACCTAAAGTACTTTAATGCATAATTGGTAATTTTCCGATACGACGTGGGCCAACGATACAACAGTACTTCTTGCATTTGATCAGCTGGCAGGTTCAAGACTTGCATGTGAGACCTTCGGCTGAGGCGTACCGCGATGATGACCGAAAACAAGCACTTATAATCGGGGGGCGGGGGGACTGTACCGACTTCTTGTGAAATAAAATGATGGGCAGGGCATATCAGGGTCCCTCAGACCGGGACTCCGCGCGGCTATTGAAGTTTTCACCCACCTAAGTTAGCTGCCGACAAATGAAATGGTGGATAAGGGGCGTCAGGGTCCCGCTGACTGAGGCCATATGTAACCATGGTAATTTTAACCAGCTCCAAAAGAGAGAAAAGGGCAGAGGTACACGCCTATCGAAGACCCTACCAAGGTACTAGCCTGGGGGATCGCCGTGAATCAAGGAGCGCCACCGAGGAAGGTGACTGAAGAGATCAGTTATGACTTATGTGCCTTAATAAGCCATACAAGGACTAAACCACCGGCCCCGGAGATGTGAGATTCAAACCAGTCTCTGCATAGTCTTCGTTGGTAGTGTTTCTCGCTCCGCGGCTGCTCACGCTATCACCCCATACCAGTACTCCGAAGCGACGCGGATAGCCTGCTTTTCGCTCTGATCCGGCCAGGCCGGCGAATACCACCCCTGTCAACATTCCTCAGCGCGGGAGCCGGTGACACTAACTGGGTTCTCATTCACGTCTCAGGCGTTACTGAGATGGATTGTTTACCTCAGCTGTCCTCTCAGAAGAAAGATAACCACAAACCTTCCCAGGTGCTTTTAGAAAAAAGCAGTAATCACCTTGGAGGCATTGTAGGCTAACTGGCTCCGAAGAGCACTTGCGGGAATATAAGCAGCAGTGTTTGCCCGCCCGCCAAAGACCAACGCCTGTCGGTTGGTCTAGTGGCAAAATGCATTACGGTTGCAGCATAAGCGAACATCACAACCATTGGACTGGAGGTAGAGAATTCGAACGAAAAGTCAAGGGCTTTTGTGGTTCGCAACTTCTGGCCGTGGCAGCTGACCTAATGGTATTCTAGTAGACCATATCGGGGTGTTAGCCTATCACACACACAACTGCTTAAAATTTTAGAAAAGATTGGTGAGGCAGTAAACACGTAGAAAATGCCGACTATGACGGCGCCTGGCAGAGCACTAGCTTATACACCGTACTTTGTAAGTTGTCCCCGGAATCGGTCTTAAATGACAGGTGCAGATTGGGCTAGACATCGCACCTCAAATCATTGGGATTGGCAGGCACTAAAAATATATTACAATTACCTTGAGCATCGGATCAGGGAAAAGTGTGAGGGAATAAAGGGTACAACAGTTAACAAGCAATCATTTCAGAAAGGCAATCAGGCGGAAACGCGGTGAACCCCCATTAGTTGGAAAATCGAAGCTGATTAATAAATGAACACAACCAGCAAACATGTCTTAGGAAGCTTTAGCTCACAGCTAGGGATGCTAATTACCATGTGACAAAGTGGCTTTCGGAAGCGCAGGGCGCCCGACGACAGAAGTAAGCGCGTAGAAACAGAGAACCCTTTCACTCACCTTTCTCCAGGAGATCCCAACTTTTCATGACCGCGCCCCTGCAGGTGACGCTCACACCCTCCGGATTTTCTAATACGGCCTGGAGAAAATCAAGAAACAAAATCAGTCCAGTACACCTGCACAATCGCCATACCTAGTAAAAATTAAATGTGGGCGGAAGACACCAGGAAGTCCAGGACGCCGCTTATAGAGCAGGTGTGATCGAAATGGGAAAAATGGAAAAGATGACAGTTGGCGAACATGCAAAAGGCTCGTTTCGGACGTGGCCGTCATCGCCGGCCAGTCCTAGACCACTTGGATGTCGAGAGGGACTAACGTCTATTACTCCTGATGGCTCTGGCTTCCTATCTGTAACGTATGCATCGATTTTAAGCAGTCAATTCAGAACTTTCAGGCTGCTACTGAATCCACTGCTTTTTATTCTTTTGCCAGGACCTGCAGTATATCTTAACCGTCCTAAAGCAGCACTGGCGGCAGTAACGTTTCTGGCGTCTCCTTTGTGCGTTTTTGTGTGCGATGCAGAGAACGGTGTCGCGAACCCCGATCAGGCGCTTGTTGTTTTCAACGGCACCATCAATTATCAAAGACTTAAAAAAGACAGTAGAAATGCAGTCATGCGAAGGACGTCGTTGGGCAGAATAAGTTACAAGAAGGCGAAGGCACGATTGCATATTCTCTTCCATTCGTGAGAACAGGTTACATTTGCCACCGCAACCAGGCGATATTGGTCTCCGAAAAAATGGTCACTTCTCGGTTACTCAGTTTGATTTGAACGGCCTGTACTAGCCACTAAATTTCCACTTAATAACTACCCGTAAGTGAAAGAGTGCATTAGACTGCAGTCGAAAGTGGCCTTACAAAGCATGTTTTAAAGTGCGATTGGGTTGCACCTCTCAAGTTTGACGTTTGTCAGCAAGAAGAACCGAAAAAATCACAGCCGAAGAAAAATAGCGAAAACCTGTCTGTCGGCGAGCTCAGATTTGAACGAAAATTGTACCATTTAACGTATACACTGGTTAGACGATTGTCTACCCAGAGGAAATTTAGAAAGCCACTCTAGTGACCAGAGTGGTCTGCTAAAAGGCATTTGATTGATCGGTCATATGAACTAGGTGAAGACTGAGAAGTGTGTGATTTCCGGCGTAGAAGTACGATGCGCGCGTATCAGAGGAGACAATGAGGTGGCCATCCAGGGTACATGGTCTTGAGCAGAGCACCCCTCGCAAATCCAGACCACAAAAGAGAGACAAATACAGTACGAAGGGTCCTATCGATCGAGTGCTCTGTGTGGAACAGAAGGACTTAAGCAGTGCCTTTACTGACAGCAGCACAAGATCAGTACAAAGGTCATAGGCCTACTGACCGACTTAAATTGCAATGTATTTTGCAGAGGCGACAGCGGTGGCGGCTACTGAGATAGTTGAAGCCGCGAATAAGCAGTCCCTAAACCGCACTGCTTTTCCGTATGATTGGCACACTCAAGTGGGTTCAGCCAGGAACAGGCGGGGACGGGAGGCCGTTGGTTGAATGCCTAACTCCCCTTCATACAAAGACACCGAGTTATCACGGCTTTCTTCGTGCAGGTAACCGACAGTCAGCAGTAATAAATAAACCGAAGAAGAAGAGCTCAGCCTTCACCCGATAGGCTTGAACCAAGCATTTGGACAAACCACTCATTCGTATCGGAGAGATCAGTGGCCCACCTTGTCCGTCTTTTGGAGAACTGCCATCACGTGGGCACCGAGGTAGTATCCAGCTTCATGGAAGACGTGTTTACAGAGCTCGTCTCCATCGCGGGCCACTAGGAAGAAAGCAAAGGAGGCACAATCGGACGAAAAATGTCAAGGACACAGTAACAGACTCTAGAATAAGCAATCCGACGACTCTTACTAGTAATGTGAAATGCAATCAGGTCGTGAAATGGAAGACATGTTAAGGTTTTATACCTAGTGGCATCACGGTAAAAAAAACCCTCCGCCAAAAAAGGCGCTCCATAGTCTTGAGGCAAGATAGGCAGAATTAACGACCCCAATTTCAAAGTTCACGTGGGTGAGCAAAGACGGTCGGAATACGTGCTCGCTTATGCAGGGCGTGCCTGTAAATACCTACCCTTTGCGTACGTCCAAGACGTGACACAACCAACGGACGCACGTGTTCTGGCCATAAATGTGATCGATGCAGCTCGAAAAGGCCTATTAAATGGAACTTAGCGCGCGAGAGACTAAACAGTGACAGTTTTATCAGCACACAAGAAGTTCGCCGATGTACAAAAACTAGTAACCGTTTTAAATTTGTGGGACTGTTCAACAAGTAGTTTTTCACGATATGAGGGATAGAGAGTAAGCAGCCATACGCATAATGACATACGTTCTGCGAATGTTTTACAGAGAGAAGAGAACTCATTCTTCTTGAAGTGATACAAGGGTTCCAGAAGGTCCAGGTTGTTCCTCAGTTTAAAGTGTTCGAATACTGCTTTGCGTACTTTCTTAGTGTCGTACGGACACTTGACAAGGCCTTCGTCGTCATCCACAAAGAGTTTCAAGCAACGATGAGTAATCCAATAACCTGAGAAGGAAAAGAAAACGCAAAGTTACCGGCGAGCGAATGAGCAGGTTCATAGCAAGATTCAGCAACAGTATCTGCTATGCGCTCCCAGGGTTTACGTCTATGTGCACGTATGCAGGGGGGGGGGAGTATTCATAAAAAGTCGAAAATGTTTGAGGGTGCTGAAATATGGTGCGTAGGAAACACACCGCAAAGGATTGAAAGGCACCAGCTAGTAAAACGTTGAGGTCACTAACCGGAGGATTCATCACCGAGCATATAGCCATAGCCGCCGACGCGTTCGTATGAAAGGTCTTCTCGGATATAACGACAGATGGAGCCCGTGCCAGCAATTAGCACGATACCAGCTGAAACAAAATATATGTGAAAGTTAGGGCAATTCATTTTTCAACAGTCTCGCCTCTGCCTTACATCCGCGAGGAATACTTGAAGAAAAGACTGTTGAAAAAGCGGAGAAATTGAGGTTCGGTAGGCAATAGATAACCAAAAATATGGGAATTAAATGAGACGCGTCTCTTTAGCGCAGCCACTTCAGTAGACAATATCTTAGGATAAATTTGCCAGATCTTCAGAGAAAATCAGTGAAACTTCTCGATGATCTAAGATACGGCTCTGCTGACAACGCAGACAGACATCCACTTGAATTCGCATTTATTCCCACGTTCAAGCACACACTTAATGACCTTGTAAAATTAACGTTAGCAGGGAACGCCGACATAGAAAAAGGGAGTCCGGAACGGCCATTTCCTGCTTATTGGCCATCATCACCCAACCTCCGATCTGGACAACCTGGGAGTAGTACCCATATTAGAAGAAGAAAATTGGCTCTCCGGAACAGGTTTATTTAACTGCTGACGTTTCAAAGAGCTGGGTCGGCTCTTCATTGTCAAAGCGTAAACTGCACCTAATCGATCAGAAATTTAGTTTAAAGTGTTAAGTTGTGTTGGCCGGCCTCATGCTGATCGATTTTTTTCCTCTCCTCCCGCTGCGTCGGCCTCTCAGGAGATGATTGACGGGCGTTTTTGCCTGTGCGCTTTATGAGTCACCACTCCGTCGAGGGGAGCTGATTGGACTTTAGTCGGGCGGTCGGTCTGGCGGTTCTTGTTCTTCCTCACCGAGTAAGCTCAGCGTCGGGCTATCTCCGTGCTGCCTTCTTAAGTCAGGTGTGGTTGTTTTGTCCTGAGCTCTACGATTGTGATGACGTAAGACTTTGTAAGCTGCAGGAAGGTCCAGATGCCTGTTGATAGAGTGGGCATCGGAGAACCACGCTTCGAGAGTTAGCATTCTGTTTTTGTGTTGCCTCGGCCTAAGATGGTAGCCAATCTTCTTCTTCTAATAATCTTCCCGGATCTCTAAACTTTTCCAATCTGAACAGAACCCATATTCTTTGGTAATTGGATGTTAAATTGAACGCTCTACATTTGGGCCAAGGGCCCGTTATTCTGTCAGTTTCGATCGGGAGTATCAACCATTGTAGGAAGGGACGATATGACTGATCAGACTCCAGCTGGAGTCTTCGTCGGAAGGTGCCTAGCGGCAAAGGCAGGGAGGACCGAGATGACTACAGTTGAGTCCCTAAACGAAAGGAAAATGTCCCGTTACTTGATCAATTAACGACCTTCCAGAAAACTTAACGCTGTACGGCCATATGTGAAAAGGGAGAACATGATGAGATGGCAGAAAACGACGAGAGCTGACTACTGTTCAAAAAGAAATGCGAAAATGATGGAGACTTGCAAGACGAACCACCAAGAGTTCTTTACGAACGTCGGGCGACGACTCGAACATACAACATAAGACAAACTAGATCGACAACGACCAAAATATGTTAAATGCCAGAGTAGCTGGAACAGAAATCCAAGTTCCTAGAGAAAAATTGCGGGTAAAAACGACTGTCGGTAATACTTCTCGATCATAAATTGCTTGTCAGTACGTGACCGTCTAGTGGCACTTCACGACAAGGTAGAGCGTCTGTACCTCCTCCGGCGGGGTGGCCTAAGCAAGCCTCACTTGACTTCCAATATTGTCCATCTCAGCCTTACAGACCGTGAGCCCGCAACCCAACTGGTAGAATTGAGGGACTGAAGGGCTAACTGATTCTGGGTATCAGTGTAGGCCCTCCATGGTAGGTTGTAAGTTTTTAAACAACAAACATCAAGTACTGTGTTTGAACATAAGCAGAAAGCCCTATGCCTTAGGACGCCAACATTTTACTTTTCAGAAGCATATGGAATGGGGTGTCGCATAGTTTAAAATTCACTGGGTGTAAGAAGCACTTACCTTTATCGGTTGCGGCATAGAGCGTGCCAAACGTGTCGTTACAAGCGAGGACGTGCTTGGTAAGAGTTTGTCCGGAATTCATGAAATTTTTTTCAAAGTCGCGAGCATTATCTTCCGAGTCTACTCCACTGAGAGCTAAGCCCTGAAAATGCCGAAGTGGAGGAACAAAACAAAAAATTAATCCACGAAGGCATTTATAAAAAATTTAGTGTCAGCTTCCATAACAATGCGAAACTACACACAAAACGTATCGATTAAATTTTTTTAAAAACAGCCAACAATGATGAAGGCGAATATAAACTGATATGCATGAAAGATAACTGCACATTAATTCCTAGAGGGTGACATGCTTACTTAGTATTAAGGCGTCTGCTCCAAAGGAAATTGTAATCAGTTCTTCTATCAATGACGTAGTATCACACTCCGCTATTACATACGGTAATTCCAAAAACTAAATTGCTTATTGTAAAAGGTCGTCTTTTGTTGGCATTGGATTCCAAAGTCAGAACTCTTAAAAACGGTGTTTAAAACAGAGTAGACCGGACTTATTGGCCCCGAAGGGTAAATTAATTCGGTTGCCTTGTAAAAGGTATCAGCGACAGAAGACCGAGTAGACAATACGTCAGGTTGAATGAAAAAGAGATAGTAATTAGTGAGCCATCAGATATTTCGGGATTACTAAGTGTCCTTTACAACTACTAATATCATAAAACAGAGCATACGAGGAGACACAAGACTGCTACACGAAAACATGCAAAGCACTCGATCAATCACAAATGAATTTTTCTATTATGCTAACGCGCAAAAACTTACAAATTATCAGTATGTGTGGGACCAGGAAGGCTTACAGACCCCTTTTAACGAAATGCTATACGGCCAGACAAAAAGTGCTCGTTAGAAAAGTAAAAGGTTTCGTGGGATGACACTGTTTTCATTAGAAGACCAAATTACGCTGTCGAACTACAAATAAAGTACCAACTCGTAAGCCTAGAAAACCAAGGGAGCTGACAAATTCGTGGCTCTAACTGACTGCGCGAGCCGGTCAAACACCCCACTCACACCCAAACTAACGGTAACTTAATGGTGAGTATTCTAACAACAGGTCGTTCAGAATACCTGCCAGCAGTTCTGTTTTGATTTCATGAAATTCCGCATCGCAAACAACTTAGAACAAATATTTCAAGCTCGGCTTTGTTCTTAACTAACGAAAACTATGCATTTTAGGGAAGTGGGTCAAACTTCTACGAACGAGACAGATCCAGCGAAAAAGGAACGCTTGTCACACAAATGCAATTGAGTAGGCGGGGAACAAACTGGCTTTTTGGAGTATTTGATCGTCCTCAATCACGTAGACTTACCACCGCATCCAGCCTTGTATCAGTCGGAAGGTTAGCCGCCTTCAGGGCCTGCTCAATGAGACCCAATGTTCTCTTGACAGCTTCTGGATACCCGAGAAACTGAAGACAAAAGAGCGAACGGCAGGGTAAGACAAAAACTAGTTTGACACAAAGGATAATCAACCAAGGTTTTCTGGTGAAAAATATTTATCCAGGCTGTCGTCCCAACCGAAAACATCATCGCCCCCTCCCCTTGAAGGTCTATATGGTTGGACATGAGGGTCTGAAAGACAGCTCAAACCCACGGGTTTAAACGAGGTCGTCAGAAGAAAAGGAAGGTGATAAACTAAAATTATAAACGGCAAAATCGTCTGAAAGACTGAGGACCAAACATGTCAAGGGCTGAACTTCCCAGATTGAAATGCCCTTCGTGATGGAGACCCAAATTATTTTGTCATTAACTGGTGTCAAACGATAACACTAAAGGTGACAATAATCCGCAATCCCTTGAAAGGAACTAAAATTTTAAGCTAATTGTCATGCTTAACGATCAGAGGAGATCTGTTTATGCCTGTTTTTCGACAATGGTGTTAACAAAATTCATTGTCGATATTTTTATTACCAAAATCGAGGGATAAAGGCGCTGTATGTGTATATATCAAAAGAAGCCCCAAACAACCACAAAAGGATAAGGATGTAAGTGAAGTCGACCCTAACGATTAAAGAAAGTTTACATCGATGAGGCGGATATTTACAAACATTAGAAAATTTCTACTATGTCGATCTTCTTGGAAAGAAAATTAAATGTTAAAATGGATTTAAGGACTGCTACAAATGGCCTAGGGGTGTAACATTAACCCACTACAAAACAAACGCGTAGTTAGTAAAAGTAATGTGAAGCATCGGGAGAAAATAAATTCCTACCCATTGGTTCACATGAGGACCCACTATCTTTGAAAGCAGTTCACCGGTTGAGGATACGATAACAACCTCGGTTGATGAAGATCCTCTAAAATGCAGCATAGACATCCAGGGTGATCACAGAACACAGCACTGAATATGAAGTCATAATTAACGATTGCGTGACTGATTAAACTACAATACACATGCAGTTTGCAAAATTGCTAAGCGATTTTCCGTCTAAAGACTGTTTTATCCTAGTAAGGCTACCCTGGATGACCAAAATAATTGAAATCGCATTAACAGAATTTCAATGAGAAAGGATTGTGCATAGAAAGTGGCTCGAGTAGAATATCTAGACAGATAAGTAAATAAAATCTCGAAAATAGGACGTAACGAAAAAATCCTGACTTTAACTCAAGATCTCAACGACTAGGAAAGGAAAGAGAGGTCATTATTCGGGCGAATTTCATTACGACTCCAGGAATCTTACAATATTATAATGTTGCTATATATATATATATATATATATATATATATATAGCAGCATTATAATATTGCAAGATTCCTTAGATATATCTAAGGGGTGAGGAATAAAAATTGCTCATCAAAGATGTTCGGAAAATATCCGCAAAATATGGTCGTCTCCTCCTAGCCATTATAAAGCAGTATCGCATGAAATTTTGTCCAGGGGCTCCATCCCCTCATTTAAAGAGTTACCTAAAGAGGTCTCATGAACATGCCGAATTTTAGATTTAATACATGCAATCCAAGATTTGTATATCTTTGGGATTATGACCTTAAAAATGTAAAACACATGGTCGGTGCGTTTTATACCATCTTGAACAGCACAGTGCCTTGACAGCTACAAGTCGGTGGTTACAAGGAGCTAAGGACAGATGTGGCGGGCATTATTGAAGTAGGTAAGCGTGTGGAAACGGAGTGAAAGTCCCCTACAAACATAAGGCCAATTCTCTAGTCAACCACAGGTCACAACCGCACAAAATCTGATGTGAGAATTTATTTAAATTACACCACTAGGTCTTAAATTACGTCGTGTACGAGTAAGGCAGTATTAGTAAATCGCCGATGCGATCTCCGAACTACTTCGAAGTAATTAGGAAATCATGATTAACTAATTTGACATAATTAATGACGCATAACCTCGAAACCTATACATAGCACATCTAAAATTCATGAACAGGCATGTAAGGCAGCCGTAAGTGCTAACTAAGGAGACTCGCTTCAGAGAAAGTAACCGACTTAACGCCAAGATGTACGACAAACTTATTCTAAGCTGGCGCGCACCCTTCAACTCCGCAAAAGAGCATCGTGTGCAGTCTACTGTAATGGTCCGAGATGTGTGCCACAGTGGATCTTCGGGGGTTCTGACTCGAGAAGAGCGCGAACGGACGAAGGTAGGAGACCGAGGAAGGGCGCTGACTTTTCGCGGTTATCCTTTTGCGTATTTATGGAGCCTTGCCATTCGAGGAAACAGAAAGACTGATATTCGGCGTTATGATTGGTTGAAGAAAATGTTAAGATGAAGTCATGAGGACATCAGTTACCAATACTTCCATCATTATGATTTAAATTTTTATAAGTGAACCAAATTATAGTAAATAGGTCACATTGGTTTAACTCATAAAATTACTTAATTCACACTACTCATTATGAGGTATGATGATGATGGTCAAGGTCAAGACGTACAGTTTTGATTTCCGGAGGCAGATGAAGTTTTGCTTTCACTGAGATGCATATTCGCAATCATTTCATGTTTAAGCCCTTTTCGAAAACTATTCCTTTATTATCGCATAATCCATGCCTTATAAATAACCCATCGCATTCATTCTGACCATTTTTGCTATTTTTTTTACGTGGCGAAGGTATTTCTCATCAGTGTCATACCGGTTGTTCTATTTACAGTATGAAGTTAAATTTAATAAACGCACTGTTGTAGATTAACGGAATTCTGGTCTTTACAAAATAACAATTAACTACGACTCGAAGGGCGAATAAAACGTATGCACAGCTCAATTTTACACAATGGATCGACACGCTATTCTGCTTTTGAGTAATTAAGTTATTTCTGCAGGGTTGTGCATTTAGATACAAAGTCGCACGGGATAAGCAGTTGTGTCACTCTGTGCCAAGCCCTATATATGGGCCAACCCTTTCTTTGGTAGAAGTAGACTTCATCTTATCGAAAATGCTGAAGAGAGACGACATGATAATCCTTTCATAGGAGACCTTTGGCGGTTTCTCCCGAACTTATACTTATGCAGTGAAAATTGAAAATCTGACGATATCGGCAAACTATATGGACAGGACATCCCATATTTCCTTGTCTAACTTAGTGTCGCTCAACGTCCCTTGTGTCCTTACCTCGAGGTATGAGGATCCTCATACTATATCCACTGTGCAGGTAACTCTCTGACGGTTGGTCCTCGGGAATCCCAAATTATCGATATGCCTTTTGATTCAAAGGCACGTTTAAGTTCAGCTTCTGGGACTCGTGCGTTGAAAAAGTTCAGCTCCTCTAGGAAAACGTTTATCCCACGATATCCTGCCACATTCCCAACCACATCTACTCCAAGCGCAACAAAATACCAACGAAAATTCTAAATTCCGTATTAGAATATTCCCGAACAGGAAGCGCGCTCTCGGCACATTTCAGCTAATTTCAGTAGAAACGTCAAGGTCAAGGAGCGCAGCCCAAACCCAAAGATAAGTGAGGTTTTGCGTTCGCTTCGACTTCTGCAGGCAATTGTTGCGCATTTTTGATTGAGATTGTTATAGAATTCACTTTTAACTGCCGGGTGTAATTCCTCCCTGTCTTATTGTCTCATTCTACGGGAACCCCCACGGTATTCCCTCGAAAGAATGCAGCCGACTTGACTCACTTGTTCATCTAACTGCCAATGAATCTAGTGATAGGCAAAAGCGTGCTTACAAATTTCTGTAGAAAATGTTCTTTGATCTGTTCGGCCGGTTGATGTTGCGACCATTTTCCTGTATGCGTGTGGTTTAAACAACAAAACAGCCGGTGCTAAACACTTGTCCTCCCGTAGCAAAACCCGCCCGATTTATTCATATTAGTTTCACCAGGCAAGGTCGACACAACCTTTGCCCACCGAGATCGTGTCTCTGCGTACGTGAAAAATGCAAAATTTTTTCTTTGTCATGATCTTTCTCCCATGGAGCGTAGAATCGGGCCTATCTTCTCACGTAAACCCACTGCTTCTCATTCTAGTGCTCACCAACTCCGTCATAATACAAGTGGCCGTGAGAATTCAGCTGGTCCTACTCCTGCGATATCTGACTCCCTCCTTCCTTTTTCTCCTACATCTCCCTCTCACTCAGGCCACTTGACGCATTCGCCTGCCCCTAAATTAGCAGCAGCCCCAGTTGTCTTTCCTACTCCTCCAAAAAGCCCCCCTCAGGACGCATGAAAATCCGTCTACATCAGCTAGACCGATAACTTCTCCTGTTCAACAGGGTGTTGCAAGGTCTGCGGTTAAGTCACCCGTGACTTGCTGTCCGAAAGGTGAAACTTCAGACTCAGATCCAGAAGAAATGTAGTACAATCCCATTTAGGAGTACGCCGCCTTCTCTTAGATCCACAAGCCTTTACAACCTAACACGTCTACAAACTCCCAACTACAATTATATCCCCCAAATAATTCTCCGTCCTGCGTACTGGTTACTTACCAAAGCCCTACTATATATCCACCAAATAATTCATACGTGAATTGCCCTAAGTCATTTATGTCCCAACCTAGTTCAGGCTTCCTACCACTTAAGGCCAATGGCTCTCAGGTAAGTCAACCTAACTCCTTTGACTTCCAACCTAGACCTGGTTTCCCATCCTTTTGTTTTTATAACTGCCTGCCCTCCCCCACCAGCCTCCAACTTCCTTCCAGGCTCCCTCCTCCCCCTCCTCCACAATTTAACTACCAACAAGCCTATCCCTGTTCCAACATCCTTTAGGTTTCATGCCCAGCCTTCTCTTACTGACTCCCCGTACTTCAATAACGTTAGACAAACTGCTACTTATTTTCCAAACATCATCAGTTCGCAGCTTACCTATCGGCTCTCCAAATTTTTCGTCTAAATACCGCCGACAATAGCCTTGCTGTTCGAAACACATTAGATATTATATTATTGAATGCCAGGTCAGTTATAAACAAGATGGCCCAAATCAGAGCCATTGCTCTGGACATGACGCCTGATATTATATGTGTAACAGAATCTTGGACCCATTTTCTAATTCCTGACTCTACCCTTCCCATAGATGAATTAGATTTTTACCGTTAAGACCGCACGACTAGGCGTGGGGGCGGTTAGCTTCTTTATCTTAAATCCTACCTAAAGCACTCTTCCTATTACTTGGCTGTTTCCTCATTCACGGGATATTTCTGCTTTGCATCGGTTATTCTCTCGCCGCAAAGAAAGGCAATAACTGGCTTATCTACAAACACCTAAACTCTTCGGCCAGTGATGATTAACAACTCTGTGAAATCTTTAAATTTATTTCGGAAGCTGTTTTCGATGTTAAAATGAGCACTTAGAATTTTAATACTCCTGAAATGGACCGGCTTTCCAATATCTGTCCACCTAGATTCCAGCTCTTCCAAGACATTGTCAATTTTTCTAACAATAAATATAAGATCTTCGGAAAATCTACACACCTTTAAAAGAACGCTACGCCTTTATCTGAATACTGACTCGATTAAACTTTTATTTTTGTCATCCTTCCCAGGCAACTTTTTCTATGACACTAAAAAAGGGCCACCGGGAATTTAGCATGCCGCCATTAAATTTCCGTATCTGTTCACGTTTCCTTCCTTTATGAGTAGTCTCGCTACCTAAGATCCCTCACCAGAAATGTTAATTTTCCAATTTTTCAGTTCATGCAACGTGCTCTCACAGAATGCGCACCATCGATGCTCTTGGCGAAACCTTCTGTATTCGCCATATACTAGTAGTCTGGTCGCATCTCCCTTACCCCATGCTCGGTTGGACTCGGATGAATGTAACCGACCGCATCTGGGTTCCTATCGCCTCGGGACTGGTTGTCATCGTGCCCTTACAGAATGCGCTCCATCGGCGGTCTTGACAAAGCCTTCTATATTCGCCATATACTAGTAGACTGGTCGCATCTCCCTTCCCCCATGCTCGGATGGACTCGGTTGAATGAAACCGACCGCATCTGGGTTCCTATCAGCTCGAGGCTTGTTTTCAATTATGCCATTTATTTATCTTTTTCAAGGCCACATACAGGCCGGTCCTGACCGACCCGCCTGCATACCACTTTATGAAATCCGTTACACAATGCCATATACAGCTGACATTTATTTCGGCCATGTTGATGTTCGACTATATTCCATTCTATACCGCCACATGCAAGCCAGTCCTCCCTGCATTTTTCTGATGCTATTTTTTGAGGGGTTTTTCTTCTCCTGTTAAATTAATACAGTCATTTTTAAATTTTGCTATGGAGTTTTTTTTCACCTCTCGTTTTTCATTTTGCTTAACGGACTTCTAATCTCAAAAACTATGTATTGCACTTTGTACAGATTTTGCCTACGTCGTCTAAAATTCGCATGTAAATTTATCTTTACTTGCCTTGATGGGACCCCGACGGGTCTTTAATAAAAATAATTGCATTGAATTGAATTTTGCCTGATAATGCGCTCTCCAACAAGAGATAATCACATTTTAGTTCTTATTTTGCCAATGATATTGCTCTCTATTTGTTGCCTTCAAAAAGGACCTCTTTGATAGTGACCACGTATTAATTCATTGTTGCTGACTGCTTGCATTATAAAAAAGACTAGCACGGTTCGGACTTACCTAAATAACGATCACATAGATGTTATATCCCCAATCAGTTTGACGCCAGTTCTATGCGGAATAGAAGACAGAAAGGATAGGAGAGAACAGCTTTACTGTGCCAGTCACCCTGTGTACATCAACTCTTAATTCTTCCGTCCATGGCTTCGTTTTTAAGGGTTCAGCTTTCGTCTGGTTTGCGTGTTCCTACAGGTCCAGTCCTGAGCGCCCGCATGGGCAGGCGCTCGCGTGTTGCTGGCCCCTGGAGGTCGCGCATGACTCAGCGGCGTGCTAATGTCTGGATCGTATGCGGGCTTCCTAGGCGAGGCTGTCCGGCGAGTTTGCGGTTCTTTGTCAGGCGTGACCGCCGGACGACTGGAACGGGGCGTCGTGTTCTGAGCCGTCCTAACAGTAGATAACAACTTACAAGGTCAGTATAAGTTAGTGTATCTTAAGGGTAATAAGCAATGCCTTTGAATACCCTATTGAAATCGGG